CTCCAGTGTATGGTCTCTTTTTAGGGAATTTCTGATTATTTTTATTACTAAAATTATTTACTGGTTTTCTTTTCATTTGAAAAATTTTGGGTTAAAAATTCTAAAACTTTATTTTATTTTGTAAATTGATCTCCCTAATAAGTAATTACTTACAACTGATTTAATATCAGGAAATGATGATCTGAATATTAAAATTAAACCTATCAGTTCCAATATCATACCACCTAATAAAAATTTAAAAATCATTAAAACAGTCCCTAATATAAATAATACTGATCCATATAAACGTTCTTTTGCTAAAAAATATTTTGGTTTAGCACCAATTAAACCTAAAATACCAAAAATCATAATAAGATTTCCACATGCTATTAAAGCTCTATCCATTAATAGAAGAGTACCCACTAAAAATATAAACATACCAATTGCAATAACTGAAAATCCAGTTTCTCTATCTAATTTAAACATTCTTCTTGGGGTCAAACAAAACAAATATTTTAAAACAATTTATTTTTCATTTTTAAACTCCATCAATTCTAAAAGTCCCATCGTTTCTAATTCGTCTTTAAAATCTTTTATTTCTTTGCTTATTCGTTCATCATCCCAATTAAAATAATCAGACATTATTTTAATAACTTTTGGTCCAATTTTCTTAGCCTCATAAACATCTAAAAATCCAATCCTTAATCTTCTATTCAATACATCACCTGGTTTTACTGCGAATTCATAATCAATTTGATAGTAAATTTCACCTATTCGATAATTATACTTTTTACTTAAAATACCCGGATAAGTCTTTGTATACTCGTATACTTTAAAAGCTTTGTCTCCATATGTGTCCTGGAGATGCTTTGCAAAGACTTTATTTACGTTGTATAACAAACTTAGATGTGTAAAGAGATCTTTTGAAAAATACTTACTTCCTAATATTCGAATATGTTCAGTTAATGATTCGTTTTTTGTATTTAGGTTGTATGAAACAACTGCTAGATCAACTGCTTCCCTAGCTGCTTCTTTATAGGTAGTCCATTTACCTCCTGTTATCGTTATTAACCCGTTTCTATCGTCAATACTTTTATATGATCTAATGAGTGTTTCTGTATTTGTGTTATCTGATCTTGATTTGACAAGTGGTCTTAAACCTGACCATGATGCGGTTACAT